CTGAGGAGCAACCGCAGGCCGGTCAGGGCCCGGGGAGGCGGCCTTGAGCGGGGTGGACGCCCAGCAGCCTGGAACGCTCCGCACTCGCGTGGACACTGGTGCCGGTGGCCAGGCGGTCCAGCTGAGGACGGTCAGAGGGTGCGGCTGGCTGAGGCCGCAGGAGACCCCTCCCGACCTCAGAAGGGGGCGCTGCTCACGGCTCCAGGGCTGGCTGAGTGAGAGTGGGGCGCAGAGGCCTCGTGCTGCAGGCAGGCGGGCGGGGGCTCTGGGGCGCGGGGGCCGGCCCACGGGCAGGTGGGCGGAGGGGACGCTGGACAGCCCGGGAGGAGGAAGCGGGGTCCACCGCTGCCCGGGAGGGTGGCCGGCAGCCCCCGCGCCGACCAGACACTTACCAGGGCTGTTTCCCGAGCCCGCTGCGGCGGGGACCTCTGCTCCTATCATAGAAGCCCCTGGGACCCCAAAACACTCGGGGCCCGGCTGTCCAGCAAGTAAAGAGGCCAGGCCCAGCCGGCTTGTCAGAACACCCCACCGGGAGGAGGAGCGGACCTAGGCGCGCGCGTCCGAGCCCCCAAGTTGGCCTAGCCCCGGCCTGGCCAGGCCCCAGGCTCTCGTGCCAGGCGGCCCGGCCGGCACTCACGGTCAGGGCGCCGTAGTAGTCGTCGCCCTCGCCGCACAGGCCTCGCACGAACTCCACGCCCAGCACCACGGTGCCCAGATCCCGGTCCTCGGCGCGCGCGGGGCTCGGGACTTGGCCAGCGCACAGGCCCTGTGCAGGCAGCGGCGGCTCAGGGCGGGCCCGCACTTCCGACCCGAGCGCCCGGGGCTGGGGCCGCGGGTGCGGGCGCGCGCACCTCGAGGAACGGGAAGGCGAGCACGTCGGTGGGGCAGTCTCTGCCCCGGTAGCGCCGGTTGAGGCGTCGCATGCGCGCGTCGTCCACGCACACGAGCGCCAGGTCGAAGGCGCGCACGCCGAGCGCGGCCCGGGCGGCCTCCAGGCCGC